AACGATATCCTCACTCTTGAACACATACTCTTTTTAAAACCTGCACCATCTTTAAACGTTACAGAAATGAATGAACTATATAATATCGTAATTACATTTATTCGCGACACACAAGGATTCTAATTTCCCAATATCCTTCTCTCCCTTTCGTTCATTAGTTATTCTCTGTTTCTTTCTTCCTTATTATTATTTTTGTTGTTGTCATTACTTTCTCTCTTAAATGTTGTCGCCGTGTATTGTTTCTATACATGTATTCTAGTGCTGTCCTCTGTCCTCAGTCAATTTATGTTAAGATGTAATGGGTTCGCCTCCTTCTTCTCATAATTTCTCCTGATTTTTTCAACATTTCTTCTAAATAAATAAAGTTTATATCAACAAGGACTTTTACTATGAAAGTTCGGAAAATAAAGCTTTTTAGCGACTAAACTTTGAATAAACAAACATTCGGAAAAGTGTGCCTCGACTGGAATACATGGCAATGTACATTTCGATAACTAAGATCATTCGCTTGGGAGAAACATACCAAGACTGTACCTCAATAGCTCAGTGATAAAACATTGATGATGTTAACCGATGTTTTGGGTTCGATGCTCACTCTACACATGTTTTTTCAAAGTGTTGGTTTATCGAAACTTTAGTCGCCAAAAAACTATGTTTTCCTAACTTTTTTTGATATAACGGTATAAAATGACTTGTTTTTACTGATTATTACTGCAAAATTATATATTGTAATGTGCAAAATTGCATCGTATGTAGCAAGAAGATACTGAAGAATGCAGGACTAAGCAGCTTCGCTGACTTTCAACTCCAACTCCACTCGAACTCAACTCCGTTTCAAATTTTCAACTCCAACTCCAACTCTCTCAACAAAAATCTCAACTCCAGTTCAACTCCGGTTGCGTCACTTTTGTAATGAAGATTTTTCGGCTTTTAGCAGGATTCTGGATGTTTTTGAGCTTTTTCCGGCAGGAAAGCACAAAGAACTTCCTAATTCACTAGTGAATACAGCCACTCTATCGTTTAGAAGATCAGTTTACAACTATTGAATATTTCCAAAAATGCAAAACGGAGTTGAGAATAAAAGTTCAAAAACCCAACTCCAGCCTGCTAAAATCTCAACTCCAACTTCACCAAGGTCAACTCCAACTCTACCTCCACCAAAAAAAATCCTCAACTGTGAAGCTGGAGCTGCCCTGCCCTCAAGGAAGAATGTCAGAGCTATAACTCGCCTTTTGACCTAAAATTAAAACTGAAAACTACGACATATTGTAGCATGACGAGAATAATATGGTATCGCGATGCATGTTCTTATCGCATTTTCGATAAGAACATGCACCGCGGTGAACTGAGTAGTGTGTGACATCGAAGCACTACATTCTACCGCAATAGATCGTCACACTACGACATATCTGGATAAGTCTAGTAGAAAAATTTTCATTGGTGATTCAGATTACTTAACAATTGTCAATCAACGTCGTAACTCTCAATGTGACTTAGAATTTTTTATCATCGTTATAAGTTTCGACTCGAATTGTCACTATGTCAGCTTTATGCCAAATATTGTTAAGTTTTAATTTTTTGAAAAATGCTGCTGGATTCTTTAATGTAAAAAAAAACAGATCATAAAAAATGACGAACATTTTGCTTTACTGGAAGTAAGACGGAAGAGATAAGCATAAGATAAGAAGAAGGCCATTTATTGAACATTTGAGTGATCCGATATTTTTGTTTAACATCAAACTAATTCCATCTAATACTCGTTGTACGCGAGGGTCAATGGCAGAGAATGAAGGATCGATGTGATTTATAGCATATGCAAATGTAAGATTTTTTTCGGGATAAGCGAATGCTAAACTGCCACCAGCGCCTGAAAATAAAAAGAAAATGGCATTCATCACATATATGTTAACAATTTGTTGAAGTCTATGTGTTTTAATTCTTTCATTTCTCTTTATCTTCTTCAAAATCACATAGTTTACCCGTAACGTCTGACTCAGCGGAGTTTTCAACATTTCGCAGTTCACGTTATTTTATTATTCTTTTCTTCAATAATTTTTGTTTTTTATAAGAACGGACTTATTTTTTAAACTCTGAAGGAAACTAGGACTAAAAAATAATGGTTTCCATCTTCTTTCATAAATGAAAAACGTCATCAGAAATCTTTATGTAACCGAAGTAAAGTTTCGGATGCAATATACCAATTATGTATTAGAAAAATACTTTCTACACTCGGATTTCCCAAAACGAAATGAAAACCCATTGAAATCTTGAACATTGAAAAATCTGTCATAAGGATTCTAGCCTTTCACTTACCGTTATGTCCAAATGATCCTGGTCCTAATACAAGTGATCCAAAAGTCATGAAACCCATTGCGAATGATGTTGGAAGATTAGAAAGTACTTGATCGCCTTCATTTTCAGGTGTATTCGATTTGGTTGCTTGTTTTAATATAGTTTCAGTTAATAACCATTTCTGACCATCGTCCAAATCACTGAGAAGAGAAGCATATATGCGTGCTAATGATCTTGCGTTTGTTATGCCATTAGCTGCTGGAATCTCACCTTGATGTATTCGATGATCATTGAATATATCCTCTTCACCTAATGGATTGGTGACATTTGAGGTTGATTCAAAATTAGTGTAGTTTTTACTTACAAGTGGAGAGACACGATATTCTAAAGCAGCCGGTAAACCAATATAAAATTCAGTGTGAGTTGGTTTTGTTATTTCATCTCGAATAAATTGTCCTAATGTTCGTTTTTCTGGATCAACTCGGCGTACTAGCTCACCAGCTAGCCATCCAAAAGTTACTGCATGATAACCATGTGCTGTACCTGGTTTCCACACTGGTTTCTGTTTTTCTAGAGCATCAGTCATTGTTTTCCAATTTAAAATATCGTCAAGTGTAAATGAATGACCGAAATCTGGTAAACCTGCACGATGCGACATTAAATCAGCTACGGTTGTGTTTTCTTTGCCTTCTTGTCCATACTCTGGCCAATATGTTGTAACAAGTTCATTATAATCAATTAGACCCTTTTGTACGCATAACGCAACAGCAACAGCTACAATACCTTTTGATGTTGAATAAACTAGTTGTAATGTATCATTTGTATAAGGTATAGTTTTATTTTTATCAAACCATCCACCCCATAAATCCACAACTAATTTACCATTATGATAAATTGCTAATGACGCACCAATATCTAATCCATCATGAAAGTTACTTTTAAATATATCACGTACAAATTCCCAGTTAGAATTTTCAATTGTTCCATCAATATTATAATTATTATCATTTAAAACTTGTTTACATTCAAATTTTGAATGCACCATAAAAAATATGACAAGTAAAATCGAATAAAAATGTATCATTTTATGAGAAAATCTTTTAATCGAACGAAAATGTCATATTCATGTCATACTAGAAATATATATATGCAAAGAAATGAAAAAAAATGTAAAAGACGAATATTGTTATCTGCGCAAATATTACTCGTACGTTACATAAAAATGGCTCACATCGCGCAATGCGAACTGTTATAAATTATAAGAGTGATATAGAGCCATATGAGTCACATAACTAATAATTGTTTAATACAATGATATTAACAGTCTATAGTCAAAGTCACCTTTAAAAAAGTGTTTATCGAAGCTACTTAGCCAGTCAGTCACATTCGCGCTCTATTTATTTTCACTGGCTTATATCTCCCACAATGGAATCTGGGTGACATAAGCCCAGCTGATAAATATCGTCGAATATCTTTACTATTCATTCCCAGTTCAGTGCTAGAACTCTTCATTTACGATCAATTGCTGAATACACTATTTAAACAAACTTAAGTTCTTTTCAGACTATCAATTCAGTTTCGTAGAAAGAAAGAACTTTTTCACAGAAGATGGTTTCCTCTTTCTGACACAACAACAACAAAAGGGACTCAATTCATTCACAACTGTGTTCGACTTCGAAAAGACATTTGATTGGCTACTTCGTCAGATAATGATCTTAAACTTGCACAAGAAACACACATTTAAAATGCTTTTTGAACTGGATAAAAAATCAGACCGTATATTCGCAAGACTGAAAGTGGAACATATACTAATAATTTTCTTACGGATAAATAATCGTAAGTGTTTTCTTTGAAACGGAAGTAAACTCCAATTAATAAAGTGTCACAAAAGAACCGTGTGGAAAATTAATTTGTTTCTTGAAGTTGAGAAATAAACCTCAGAAAAAATACCACATAAGCATGAAAAAAATGGTGTCAGTTAACGGCAAAAAGAAATCTATTTTACGCGAGTTGTTATCTGATGGATATTCTTCAGCCTTGTATGGTATTAAGAAAAATTATTTTACAAATGTGTCTCATATTTTATACTTTTCTCCAACAAATGCATCGGGGATTAGTCTAACGGATTACTTCCCTTCCGAAAGACGGGGTACAGTTTCTGCGGGAAAATGACATTATATATTTTTGAGAAGATAATGACTGGAACTGTTAGAGAATCGTTAGTTATTTAGCTTTTAAACCTTCTCCGCTTCAAAATTGATTGTGGCCCGCCACATTCTAAACGGAGCTAACGTTTAGTATAATTGGTTGCCGCTAGATTTTAATGTAGAATAATAGCCCTATCAGTCCTGTATAGTTTCTGCTACGTTTTAGTTGAAAAAGTTTATTGTTAAGTCAGCAGTTGTTACATTTATTCATGTAATAACGCAAAGAGTCTAAAAAAGGTGAATATCTCAGAAGCAACACATTTCTGGGAAAAATTTTGCTTGCAGAAAGACAGAGAGTTGACGGAGTTGAAAAAGAATACATATGAATCTTTGACTGGTACCTCTTGGTTGTTTTGAAAATAAGCCAACGCCAAAAAAGAGATGAAAAATCACAGCTCTACTAATACATAACATTTTGTGGATCAACTATACTACGATCATAGACATACTATAGTCCAGTAGATAGCTGTTGACGGGATATGCAATATTGCTACAGAACACTCTGAATGAAAATACTTTTTTAAGGAGATATAGGTCAAATACTACTAAAAATGCTTTGACACGTTCAAGAAAACAAAGATTTTCATCCAAAGGACAGGGTGCATTAAGAACGAGGATCTGTCCCATTTCAGAACTTCTTGAAAGGTATCTGGAATGAAAGAGCATACAATTTTATGGGGTTCTACGCTCTTGGTTTTCCTTTGGACCTCATATCTGTGAGAAAATCGATCAGCTTTGACCAACAGTTCCGAGAGCCCATTTCGACGCGTTGTTCGTAATTTTCTCAGAGTACAACAAGTTTGAAGGAAAGTCTTATATACCATTCGTTGCAACCTTAAACGGCGAACAAAACTATCTATTGCTCAATTGTTATATACACTGCTCACATCCAAGTTTTTGGAATATTACTGCTAAACATGACCTTTTCAGCATAGTGCACGATGGTATTTCAGCTTTTTCACCATGAACGAACCGGTTTACATGCGGTTTACACTATATTAAAACTCTAGAAAATGGTGGCTAATTCATTTCTAGCTCGAAGTGCGAACACTCACTTTTTGTGATATTACTACTGAAAAGCGATGCTTTTAAGCATAATGACGAATAATGTTTCTGTGTTTTTACTATGAAAGAACTTAGGTTGCGGCCCACATTATATATCAAAAGAAGGCTCCTTCAAAACTCTACAAAATGGTCAGCAATTTATTTATCGTTGAAAGTGCAAACGCTCATTTTTCTGGATATTACTACTGCAAAGTAATGTTTCCGACAACGACGGATAGGCTCCATCCATATAAAACCTACCACCATTTACATCGATATTTGACGTTAGTGACGAAACTACCACATATTATAGAGCTCAGCAAATTGAATCGAATAGTGAAAACCGCAAGTCTCTAGCCTTATTAGAAAAAAAGTTAAGGTCATTTTACCCTCGGAGCGGAAAAATGCATTTTCTGGCACATTTAGCCTAACTTGTAGAACGTCTGCTGACCACATTCCCTAACGTAGAATAGTGTAGTTGGTATCAAATGAAAGAGCGCGTCGAGTTCTATATATTTCGATAAAGAAACGTTATGCTATAGCTTGAGATAGAAATTTCTGAAAAACTCGGCTTTCTAGAAAACTTAGCGACCTTAAAATTTCTTACAGAAGTTTTTCGATCATATCATTGGATAGACCCTGCAATTCTCCACAAAATGAGATGTTGGGCATGCGTATACAATTTGGGACGATTGAGTTACAGGCTGTTTAACATTAAGAATATAAACTCATTCGGTTTGATCCCGAGTTTTCGATCTTTATCGTATTTTCTATAGCACTTTGACACTACATCGTAGAAACGTACCCAACTTCTCATCTTGCGGAGAATTGCAGGATCTATCCAATCCTCGTTCTTATTGCACCCCGTCCTTTATGAAAATATACAGTTTTTAATGGTAAAACTGCAAAATTTTCACCATGTCTTTTTTTAAGGTGGCTTATTTTCAAGTCAGCAAGAGACATCAGTCAAAGATTCATATGTGTTCTTATTTAACTCGATCATTTTTATCGTGTGTCACATATCGATTCATTCGTGACACGACATTTCCGCGAACAGGACCCCGACTCTTCCACGAGTTTATCATAGTACACATTTGGGTATTTTTGGCAGTGTTTCGGGGGAGGTGGTGGTGCAGTCAGTGTGGGAGTGAGTTCGAAAAGTAGTTTCACACAAAACCTATTTTCATGATGCGAAATTGTATATTGAGACTGTATCCCATAAGGACTATGCAGCACATAACTTCATTCAGGTTTCACATCGTTTACGGAAATGCCGTTCTCGGAAATTTCGGTGTATTGATGCCATTTTAATATCCTCTTATTCTTTAAGCCACTTTGTAACTGATGTTTTGAAGTTTTTGTTTAATGAATCATTTTTAACACTTTACATCTACCAATCTCTTCCAAGGAACATTGATATGTTAGTTTTTTGGTTTAGATTTGGCTTATTTTGTAGTCCTTGCAATTCTGTATTTTGCTAAATACAAACTATTCTTAATTTCTATTTGTGAAAGAAATTATGATTATTTTTATATCTCACTATGGGTAAAAAAATAGACACTGTTCTCGATTTCGCATGCAAAATATGAAAGTCTACCAACTTTATTTAAGGGGGACCTCCCACTCGGTTTTTCCTATGAGTTTCTAGAAGACACTTTAAAGTATATATTTCAATACTTTTTTCGGGTACCAAACCTGTAGTCTCTGAGAAAATTATTTTTTAAGTTTAGTCTCCTTTTTTTGCACTATTTTTAAAAGTTTAATAAAATCTTCAGATTTCTACATATAACCTAGGTTTTGATGTCAATCGATAGAGGACATCAGGATCTATCTACAGAAATTCGATCAAGCTTTGACTGAGTTATTCCGCTTTGACCTGTCCAATGGCATTTTGGAGCAAGAACTATCTTTAAAAACATCTTGAACCAAATTTCGCTCGACGGAAGCATTTTCAAGGAAAATTATGGGTACGAAAGTTGTTCAGAATCAGATCCCCTGAAATATGAACGAAGGATTTTTCAAAATTTATTAAACTCGATTTTTAAATTGAAAAATACGGCTTTTTAAAGTTTTAAAATTTAGTAAAATTTAATTTAAAAGTCCAGTTTAACGAATTTTGATAAATCCTTCGTTCATATTCCAGCGAATCTGATTCTAAACAACTTTCTCACCCACACTTTTCCTTGAAATTGTTTGCTTCGAGCAAAATTTGGTTCAAGGTGTTGTAAAAATATTTTCACTTAGCTAAAAATTAGAGAAATATTTTAGTTTTGAGTTAAATTTTCCCAGCTTGTAGAGAATACTTCAAAGTATATGTTCTGAAGGTTTTTTGGCTTACTGACAGTGTTTGATTGAGAAAAAAATGTTGTTAAATTTTTGAGCAAGGCTGAGCTGTTATAAAAAAATTCTAATGAATGAATTGGATTCTAAAACTCTTAAGCTAGCTGATCTTGTAACCCGTGAAATTCTCTATCAGGTAAGGTATTGCTTAAATTCTTTTGTTGAGTCCTTATTTCTCTATTGATCTAGACAAGAACCAAGTTTTTATGATGAATGAAGAATGGACAGGAGCTTTTTTAATAATAGTCCCTTGTTCAAAAATTTTACAATATTCTTTTAAAGTAATTAATTTTTTTCTGAGCCAAATAATGTTAGTGAGCCGAGAAAACTTCAGGGTATAAAGGGTGGGCCAGAAGTCCTGACTCGATTTGAATAATAAATTTTTCTATAGTGAAATAAGTGGTTGTAAATTTGTCTCTATGAAGAAAAGATGCAGTAAAAAACGCTCTACAAAATGACGATTGATTGACC